GTTCAGGGCCTCTGGGTTGCTTTTTAGGCAGGGGATCCTAGATGAGATTTTTCCTTAGGAGAAAAGTTTTGGGGAAGGGAGGAAAGGAAGGGACGGGAAAACTGCCAGAAACAAATGAAATACAGAATTCCCAGGGAAATATGAACTTCAGATAAATAACAAAGTAAAGTTTTAGTATAACTATGTCCTGTGCAATATTTGGTATGTATTTATACGAAAAAAATTACTCTTTGTTCAATTGAAGTACAAGTTTTTTTTGTGTGTGTTACATTTGACAGACCTGGTATGTGTATGTTTAGTGGCAAAAATTGTTTTGAAAACTACTGTATCACTACACATCACCCTCCTTCAGGCTTCAACCTTAGGAGGTCTCCCTCCCCCAGGCTGGGCCCTTTCATGATTTTCTGTTCCATCCTTTTGTCCCTGTGAAGGAAACGTGATCATTCGTGGTGGCTCGGCGGTTGTGTTTCACTCAAAAGGAGTGGCTTGGGCCAAGCGGGGCTCTGTCACCCTGCACCTTGGTGTTAGTTTCATCTTTGCCCTTGAAAGTTCTCATGTTGTGACGTCTGCTGTCCGCCTCATCTTTCCTTAAGGAGGAAGGGACAGGTCAGGCTCGACAGTGCCAGTGTGTGTTTGCACAACCTATTCCCTGCATGTGTACCATGTGTTCCACACGGGGAATCACTCACCAGTGCAGACTCCCTGGGGTTGGAACATCTACAAGACACCTCCTGCCACGTGCCTTCCTGTAACTCCCAGCAAACCCCATGGTTCTGCGGGGGAGACAGGTGGGAGCTGCTGGTCCCATTCAGGGTTCAGTGTCTGCCTGGAGATGGGCGGGGGCTCCGGGCTCACGTGTCTCCCAGCCTAAGGAGTCTCTGAGTCATGGTTCAGCCAGGGCCTGGGGAGGCTCTGCAGCATCTTGGGACCCTCGGGGTCTCCAGTCCCTGACGCCTGTGTCCCTGCTGCCTGGGGCAGCCTTTCTCCTCTCCAGGCCGACATCTCATGGTGACACCTCTGAGTGGGGAACTGGCCTTTCACCCCCTCACACTGCCTCAACTCCTCCCCTCCTTTCCCCTTGTTGGTTTAGCCTTGTGCAGACCCCTTCTCTTGGCCTGGAGGGGCCATGTTATTGCTTGTGCCTCTCTCTTGGTAGTGTTTTGGGGAGAATCTTGACTTAAGAGCAATGGCAAAATGAACTGCTATCACCTCCTGTGTCTCTAAATCAAGAAGCTGAAACATGGGCCAAGTGGCTTTTGCTTGAGGGCTTTCTGGCTGGGTTTGGAGTGGAGCTTTGAGCAGATGGGACTTTATGAGCTTTGTAAAAGTCAAACTCCTGATGTCTCTCCAGCAAATCAATGTATGAAGGAGAGACATTAAAAGTAGGGAAGCCGAGTGTGGTAACACAGACTTTAATTCCAGCACTTTGGGAGGCTGAGGAAGGAGGTTTGCAAGCTGGAGCCCAGCCTGAGTAACTTAGTGATTTAGTGAGACCCGGTGTCAAAATTTATAAAATGGGCTGGGGATGTAGCTTAGTGGAGAAGGCCCTGGGTTCAATTTCTAGTACCAGCCAAAAATGAATAGGATAGGATAGGATAGGATAGGATAGGATAGGATAGGATAGGATAGGATAGGATAGGATAGGATAGAATAGAAAAGGAAATTAAAGGGGGCTCTGGGGCAGAAGATACTGCTGTCACCCTTGCGGGCCTGGGGTCAGCTTCTCACCTCCTGTGTGGGGAGAGTTGTGTACGGGCTTTAAAACAGGACACCAGTGTCATCCCTATAACACTCTTTTATGGTTAGCTCTCCCTGAGTTTTCATTTAGACCCAAGCTGTCTTGTCGGTAGTATGCAATTACATTAGGGAAAAACTGTTTGCATGTCTTGAAATATTATGGTTATGAAAAACAGCAACATAAGCTCCCATTAAGGCGGAAGAAAGTTAATTGTGTTTCATGTTGCTTCCCCGGGCCAGCATGCTGGTGTGGACATGATTTACTTCAGCAGAATATAGCTAATCTTTGCAGCACAGTACACATTTTTCCCTTAATTACAAATAATTAGATAGTGTAATTTATACTAATGCCCGATGCCTGGAAATGCATGTTCAGAAATAAAGGGCTGGTCTGAGGGCCAGGGAGATTATAAACAGGTAGGGTTGTCATCTGCTGGGGGCTGCTTGCTTGTGACCTTGGAGAGCTATGAGATCTCATCAGTGAGGGTGTGAGGCTGTTTCTAGTGGCAATTTGTCTAGTCACTCAGCCATCCACCACTCGTCCTCTTTCGGATAAATGGCAAGGAGATTGAGCACGTGGACCTCACCGGGGCCAGCCACGCAGAAGCAGGCATGATGAATATGCATGTGAGCGAGCATGGAAATGAGAGTTGCCCTGGGACGTGCAGCTGCGGGTCTCTGTGGACAGGGTGAGCTCATGGCTGTTTGGTGGATGAGTGCTTCCTCAAGGGGAAAAGCAAGATGCATTTGAGCAGAAGTGCAAGTCATTCAGGGCTCTCTTGGGCAGCTCACCCACTTCTACAGTCCCTTCCAGAAAATCCCCGTAGGGGCTGATGAATGGTGGTTTGATAAAAGCAGAGCAGAGCAGCCTGCAGACCAAGGTTCTCACCTGGCCTCTGTTCCCACTGGCTGGAGACTGCTTAGCTCTCCTCCTGGAGCATGAGACTTGCCTGGTCTGTGCGAAGCTACTGCACATGGCCAAAAAAGAATGGGAATCGTCTCAAGGACAATGCAGGTTATTATTATGGGTGGAGGTGCCATTCACTAAAGGAGGTGGCACAAGCACACGCAGTACTGGCTCAGAGAGGGCGCAGAAAGCACTTGTTGATTCAGAATGAGAAATACATTGTCATGGGCCCCCACACCCACTGCCATCATTGGCAAAACTGGACTATGAAAATCCAGGGCCACAGGTCCTCATGAATCTAACCCCCACCCCACTGACCCTTGAAAGTGTCCCTTGCGGGTGAGGCAATGCTCACGGCCAGTGGACAGCTGCCATCACTCAGCTGCTATGCTGGGTCATTGCCATTGACTGGACTCCCGTAGTTCTCAGTGGGTATCATCTGTGTTTAGACAGTGACTGGAGGGCTTGTTTCTTGGACTATAGCAGGGGCCGCACACCCAGGAGGCTGTTAGCAGACATCGGTTGGGACTGATGGCCAAGAGCTGTCTGCCTCAGCCTTCGTGGGCATTGTTCTCTTAGCAGGCATTGTTCTCTGGTGACCCACGGCTGAGTTCTGAACTTGTCACTTGAGAGCCAGAAGCCAGGCTTCCGATGTCCCTGCTTCTGGTAGAGCAGGGGCTGCTTTGTGCCTCAGAAATCACCTGCCTGCATGAGCCCTGGAGAGGGCTCCGGTCAGATGGCCAGAGTGTGCAGCAACCTGGACGTCTTTGGTGCGATGCTCACTTACTCATTCAACACGTGTTCATGAGGTTGTTAAGAACCAGGCCATAGAGTATAAAGACACTGCACTAGAGCTGCCAGACCACACACAAGGTGCACCATTAAAATTCAGTTTCAGATACACAATGGGTAGTTTTATTAGCATAAACACAAGCATGTCCTCTGCTAAACTGGCAACCCTGTTCTGCTCCCACAGGATTAGCTCAGTGTCTCTTCCCCTCAGCACTGCTGGTATTTAGGACGGGGGTCACTCCTTGCTGTGGGGCCATCATGTGCATTGTAGGGTATTCAGTAGCATCCATGGCCTCTACCCACTGTATGCCACTGGCAACATGCTCCCAGATGTGACAACCCAAAATGTCCCAAGACTTGCCACATGTTCCTACAGGATGCAATTGCCCTTGATTGAGAACCACTGGGTTAAAGTGCTAAAACAGACATGACAAGGGATCACAACAAAGTGTTCATGTGACAGCTGTGAGTGAAACAGACTCCAGCCCCATATTCACAGAGCTGGCATTCCAGTGGGGGTCAGAGTGGGGACAGGAAGAGGGTGTGTTCTCTACACTACTGTAATCATTAGCCATTCATACGCATGTGTGCACATACATCACACACCACATGTATGTAGTCTGCATCCATACACACATAGAAATATGGGTGTTATGCTAGGTACTAAGAGGTGCTGTTAAAAGAGATCAAGCATAATTTTTCTATAGTGAGTGTCTAGGGTTACCTTAGTTTGAGAGCATGGAACCCTTCTCCACTCTATGTCATTTGAACAAAGGACTGAAAGAATTAGAGTATCTCCCACATGTCCATCTGATCTAAGATTGTTGCAGACACAGGGAACAGCACGTACAGTCTTCATGGTGGGAACATGTCTGGTGTATTCTACAGTGAGCAGGAAAACCACTGTGGCTACCATAGCAGCATGAAGAAGGAAGAGTAACCTGAGCTACATAGGACTTTTAGCTTTTTGCATACTGGGGTGACTGAGTGTCCTACTTTGCCTAGATCATGGGGTTTTCCTGGATACAAGACTTTCAGTGATAAAAGTGGGAGAGTTCTGTAAGTCTGGACAACTTGTTCACCCTACATGATGCAGAAACTTGGATCCTCCTATTCTAATGAGTTGAAATGAAAGGGGAGGGTTTTCCCAGAGGATTTGTTGATGAGTCTTTGTGTGAAAGATAAGCTATGTAGAAACAGAGAGTGGAATCAGGGGACCAGTGAGAGGGCAGCTGCCTGTCCAGAGAGAAATACCTGGACCTTGGTGTTTGTGGTGGCAGTGGGGAGAGGGGGCTGGGCACTAGAATGGTTGAATTACCCTGTCTTGAAATGGGAGAATGGGGGAGAATCAGGCTTCAGGAGAAGACAGAGATCTTGGAAACTTTAGGGGTGATATGGCAGTTAGGGTGAAGTATCAACTTGACTGACTTTGGATTCACCCAAGGGGTATAAGTGAAGCACACTTCTGGGTCTGTCTGGGTGGGTCACAGAGGTGTGACTTTAGGGTCTGTGCTAGTCCCTTGCCTCTTCCTCACTGGCACTATTCTCCTGTTCTACTTCTCAGACACCATGAACTACACAGCTTTGCTCTGCCGTACCTAGCCACCATTGATGTTTCTGCCTTGGATGAAATTGACCATGGACTGAAATTGTGAGCCAAATTAAACTTCTCCTCCTTTAATTGTTAGTGTTGAGTACTGTGTCTCAGCAACAGGGTCCTAGTGGAGAAAACTGGTACCAGGAAAGTGGGGTGGTTGCTGTGACTATATCTGACCATGTGGGTTAGAAGCCTTTGGAAATACTTTGTGTGAAAAGTTTAGAAAAATTTGGAGATGCTAGTTAGAGAAGCCCTAGTATACTGTAAGCCAAGCTTGATAGGAGATTCTGGTCAGAGCTCAGAAGACCAAAACAGTGGTAGGAATTTGGACAGTCAAGGCCAGGCTTGGGAGGTTTTAGTTAAGAACAAGGACTCCATTGGCAATGCGAGGATATGTGTGTTGAACATACAGAAAATTTGTCCATCTCCTGAGATTTTGTAGGAGACTGAGATTAAAGTTGGTGGATTAATTAATCTGATGGAGAAAATTTCAAGGTAGCATGGGGACTTCTAGCTGTTTTTAGCCAGATTTATGGTAAGAATTGGTCACAAAAACAAAGCAGAAAAATTGGAAAAACTTGAACTTTGGTCCGGACGGAACTATGTATAAACTTGAGGTCTAAAGAGATGTGGTCACTGAAGATGTTAGTGCCATTAAAATGAAACCAAGTACTTTGTACAGAGACAAGAAGAAGGATACTTTGAAGTCATCTCAGAAATCATCAAGACCCCACCCACTGTGGGCTCAAAGATACAAAGGGTAAACTCCTTTGAAATACTTCACTTTGAGAAGAGAACTTCAGAGCTCCTTGATCATTTAGGATCACATAGGGGAGTGTTTGCCTTAGTTCAGCCATCTAGTCTCTCAGAAACAAAAACAAGTGTCGTCTGTGAGACCCAGGGTACAACAGATCATGACATCATTCACATGGTAGCCTTTTTTTAGGTATGCACAATGCAAGTTTGTGGGATCAGAAAGTCTTCCACCCAGATTTCAAAGGGAGGTCTGAGACACTAGGCAAGACGCTCCTGAGAGAGTGTGTATGATGTGAGAATGAAGCCAAAAGTACAGTGGAGACCCCAAGAAGTTAGATATGCCAGAAACAGGGAACATCTGCTGAGGAAAGATTCAGGGTGTGAGTAAAGCCAGCTCACGAGAGAGGCCATGTGGACTACAACCAGCAAGGTTATTGGGATGGGGCTGCCCTCTGAGCCTTACATTTCACCACCATGTACCCCAAATGCTGGACATGGAACTATGGGATTTAATATTTGCCCTGCTGGGTTTCAGTCTTGCTTTGGTCCTACTTTTTTTTTTTTTTTTAAATCCTCCTATTTGTCCCTTTCAGATTGGGAATATTTACTTTGTGCCATTGTACCTTGGGATTATATAACTTGGTTTTTATTTTTACAAAGTTTCACAGTTAAGAATTTGCCTTGAGTCTCAGAAGACATTTGGACCTGGACTTTTAAAAAGTACTGGAACTGCTGAGACTTTGGGAAAGGGATTGTTGTATTTCTGGTTGTACAGTTGATGGTTGAATTGTGTTGGGTGGAATTAGGAACTTGTCCTTTTTTTAGAGATTCCGTATGGTTTAAGGAGATGTGCTGGGTATAAAGTTGATAAGGGGTGGGGTGTGGCAGTTTCAGTGGAGTGTCAACTTGATTGACTTTGGAATTAGCCTAGGAGACTGGTGCAGTGCACTTCTGGATGTATCTGGGTGAGTCAGGAAGGTGTGGCATTAGGGTCTATGTTGCTCCCTGACCCCGTCCTCACTGTCACTGTTCTGCTCTGCTTCTAGGACACTGTGAACAAAGATTTGCTCTGCTGCACCCTTCCACCATGATGTTTTCCTGGCAGGCAGCTGACTATGGATTGAATTCCCTTAAAATGTGAGCCAAATTAAACTTCTCCTCCTCTATGTTGTGGATGCTGGTTATTGTGTCCAGCAACTGAAAGCTGCCTAGTATGGCTGGCTTGTTGGGGCACTGAGGGAGCCCTGCCCTGGGATGGTTCTGCACATCTTCACAGGTCCTGGGACATCCACTGTGGTTTTATAGCATGACTGTTATTTCCCTTCTTGAAATCTTCTGAACCTTCACAGAGGAGTCTATATTTCCTCCTGGAAAAGCCCAGGCTTCATTGTATCCTGCAGTTTGAGATTTATTCCTAATGAAACAAGCAGTCCTTGCAGTTAACAAGGGGATGAATTGTTGAAAGTCTCATTGGTGGCCCCAAGCCCCATTATGGGCCCGTTATGGAGATTTATCTTGGCAACCACCTGTCCAGATGTGCTTGTATGGAAGTGCTACATCTGTTAAAGAATAACTCTAAAGAGGAATATCATTTGCTGGAAGGAAGTTACTCAGTCTTCAAACGCAACTGGGAAATGGAAAGAGCTTTTGAGGACATGCAGTTTGTTACAACAGAACACCTTAATATTCATTTCTGTTGCCGTCAGCATATTACTGGTCAATATGAAAGACCAGTTTATAGATCACTGATGCATTTCTTTCAAATTAAAATAAGCCAGGCATAGCAATGGACATCTGTAATCCCGGCTACTTGGGAAGCTGAGGCAGGAGGATTTGAGTCTGAGGCCAGCCTGTGCTACATACTAAGACCTGTCTCAAAATAAATAAATAGGGCTGGGGATATAGCTCAGTGGCATAAGGGCCTGCCTGACAAGCACAAGGTCCTGAGTTTGAGTCTCAGTACCAATAAATAAATAAATAATAAATAAAAGGACAGAAAAGAAAGGACCATTTCTGCTGAGCTTCTAAGGCAAAAATAAACACAGAGATATCAGGCTTCTAAATTATTAATTTACTTGTGACATGAAATCTACACACTCGCTAGTAAGCGTAGGAACTTAGCTAAAGAGGAGAACAATGAATGAAACCTTGTTCTCAATGAGCCTGTGGCTGGTGGGGCAGATGCACAGATATAAACGGTATACAGGGTGCAGCGGGACAGTACTGTGAAAAGGTCCTGGGGTTTAGAGAAGGGAGGTTGCCAGTTGCTGGGGGTTTCTGGTGAGGGGTGGTGTGTCAGGTATCTAGCTTTTGGTTCCCTACCCCATGAATCTCTCAGCATGGTACAGGGATTGTGATCTCCCATGACAAAGGCCAGTCACCAGGGGGCCTTAGGGGTGGGTTGATGCAGCAGCTCCACAGGGCCCCAGGGTGATGTAGCCTCTCTGCTTTGCTGCTTACTCTGGGCTTTGATCTAAGTCTGGTTTACCTTCTAGTCACAACACTGCTGCTCTGGGAACACATGACACCATGTGCAGGTCTATTGGGATGACAGGAGGAAAACTCGGAAAGTATAATCTATAAGTCCTTTTTTTTAAGCCTCTTTTAAGGGACCTGCCCAGCCCTGGACAAATAAATGCAAATAGGAGCAGGCAAGACAGAAGCACCCTGATAGTGAGGATGGAGTTTGCTTTCCTAGGGCCAGAGGGTGCCTGGGGGAGAGGGGGAGCCGCTTGACAACACTGAGGTTCTTTTAGGAAAGAAGAATTTGGGAAGAGATTCCAGGCCTGCTGTCTTTTCTCCTTCTGCTTCTGGATTTTTAAATGATAGCCCACAGGCTCCATTTCCACAGATTCCCGACACGGCTGTGGGCTAATCTGAGGATGAAGCATCGTCTTTTCTGAGTGTTTCCTCCTCTGGGCTTCCTCTTAGCTCTGAGACCAGGAGGAAACATATGCTCGCCCTCAGTGCTGGCAAATGCACTCCTCATTCATGAATAAACCTTTTTCTCTTCCTCTCATTATCTCGCTAAATGTTTTGATTTGTGTTTACCTTTCTCTCTCAGGGAAGGCGGAGGCTTGACTACTGGCAGGCTGTGAAGCAGGCTGTAAACAGGAGCGAGGTTGTCACGACTCCATCACTCGAAGCACGTGCTGTGCCTGCCCCAGTCTCAGGCCACAGTGACACACTGTGCTCCCCACTTGTGGTGGGGTGGGGTGTTGTGGGGGGGAGTGAACCTATGGGATTCCAGGGATGCAGTGTGACCAGTGCCTCCAGCATCCCTGTCCCCCTGGAATGTGCACATTCAGGTGTGAGAGCTGGAGAGTAAATATCCAATGAGATGAGCACAGAGTGGGGTCAGACATAAGTCCTCCCTTGGAAGGGGCATTGTTCTTTGGACCAGCTCAGCAAGGCAGGTTGCAGGGACACATGGGAAGGGGCGGTGCTGTTGGGAAGGTCACAGAGGGCAGGCCTGGTGGTGCACGGTGTGGGTGGGGTCCCAAGGATGCTGCCTGGCCACCTCCTTCCCTGCACCTTCCCCAGTGGAGCCTGGGTATGAGAAATGGCATTGCCCAGCCTCCTGTAGCTCAGGCTCTGGGTGTGCACGGGGCTGTGCTGATCTAGACCTCTCATCTGGATTCCATGGTGAAAGTGAGGCAGAGGTATCAGGTCAATAACATCTCTTGATTATTGCTGGATGATCAGGTCTGCAATCTCCCAAACGAGTGTACAGCGAAGGCTAAATAAAAAGAGGCAAATGGAATGACTTTAGGGCTCCTGGGAGGATCAAAGCCCTCTCACAGAATTTGAGATTCTCTTAGGGCTAAGACCAAGACTTTCTCTGGGTGGCCTATATTTATTTGGTTATCAGAAGAAGGGAGGGGAGTACTCAAGAAGGGCAGAATCACTCAAGGACTTCTCTAAGTAAGGTATTAAGTTAATCCACCCAGGAGTGAGATGCCTGAGGCTATGTAGTCTTTATCCAGTTGAGATCTGATCCAGGTGTCCTTGGCTGTGATCTTGTCTTATCCTTTGAGGCTTTCTGGCTTCAACCTCCACTATAGGTTTTAGCAGGGATTAGTGACTCACAGAGGTTCACTTACTAAAAGTCCACCATTTCCAGAGAAGGAGCCTAGGCCTTGGACAGATTCACAAGTGAACATGAAAAACCAGTTGCTTAAGTCCTGCTCGGGTCTGCTTTGTAGTGGTTTCCATCATGGAGGTTCCTAGTGTCCAGGTCACTTGGATGCTGCCAGGGTGACCCCAGAGTGAGGGGACACAGGGTTCACAGTGTTGGAACCTTGCAGGGACGCAAGAGGTGGACAGGGCAGAAGATGCTGCCAGGTGGAGACACTGGCCCCCATTTGGGCCCAGACAGGTAGATCTGGAGACTCAGGCCTAGAACACACTCCTGGGGTCCCATACTATTGTCATTTTTTGTTACAGTGGACCCTCAAGTTACAACCAGCCTCACATATGAGCAACTCGGGTTAGGATTGAAACTTTAGGTTTCACTTATGACCAAAGTCTTGAGTTATGGCCTGAATGCCGGCCACCTGTGCAGCTATAAACAAACACTCATGGTGCCAGAAAAGTGTATGTAAGCGTACATAAGCATCAATCTGAGCTCAGATGTACATGTCTGTGGATGTGATTTAGGCCAGTGTTTTATATTGTTGCTTTGATTACTGTTATCAGAATGGCACCTAAAAAGCTAGAAAAGAAGCTAAGGAAGGAAGAAAAGGTAAAAAAACAATCACACTCAAAATGAAACAGGAAATGGTGGAGAAATATGAGAGGGTGTTCATGTGACTGATCTTGCTAATATGTATGGCATGTCAAAATCCACCATTCCACCAATCTTACAGAGAAAAGATTTGTATAAGGAAGCTAGTGTTGCTAAAGGTGTTACTCATATTAGTAAGTCATGATCAACAGTGTTAAATGAGGTGGAAAGGCTATTATTAGTGTGGATGTAAGCAAGGCAGATGGCAGGTTATAGCCTGAGTCTATAATTTGTGAAAAAGTTACGCAGCTCTCATAAAGGATAATCTATCAGCTAGTGGTGATGGTGAAACATTTTGTGCCAGTAAGGGGTGGTTTCACAATGTTAGCAAGAAGTGGGGTTCATAGTGTAACTAGGCATGGTGAAGCAGCCAGTGCTGGTGGAAGGGCTACTGAAAATTACATACACCACTTCAAAGCGGTGACACAGAGAAATGGCTGTTTCCCTCAAGTTTTCCACTGTGATGAAACTGGCCTTTTCTAGAAGAAAATGCTCAGGAGAACATATATTAACCAGGAAGAGAAGAAACTGCCAGGCCACAAGCCTGTGAAGGATAGACTAAACTTATTGTTATGTACCAGTGTGAGTGGTGGCCTCAAGATAAGTCCTGTCTCGATTTATTACTCTGAGACCCCTAGAACGTTCAGAAAACACAAAGTCATGAAGAATATGCTAGGGGTCATGTGGAGATCTAACACAAAAGCCTGGGTAACAAGAGTACTTTTCTTGAGTGGACCAGGGAGGCTTTCTGTCCTACTGTTAAGAAATATCTAGAGGACAAAAGTTCACCATTGTCCTCATCATGGACAATGCTCCTGCTCACTCCTGAGATTTGGAGGAAGAATTGGCTGAAGGATCCCCCTGGCTATCAGTTGAGTTCCTCCCACCTAATACAACTCCTCTACCACAGCCTATAACAAACTTTAAGAAGCTATACTCTAAGGAACTGTTCCTGAAGTGCTTTCAGATGGTCTCAGATACAGATTTAACACTTTAAGAGTTCTAGGAGGAACATTACAACATCCTTTCCTGTGGTGTTCACTGAGAAATCCTGGGCCAGTGTCTCTCTAAGGACACTGAGATCTGCCTGGAAGAAAGTATGGCCTAAAATTATACAGGAGAGAGACTGTGAAGGATGTGTAGAGAAGCCTGAGCCTTCAGTTGACCCTGTGCTTGAGGACATTGTCACTATAGCAGAGTCCACAGGCTTGCAGGTAGACAGCAGTGATGCTGAGGAACTGGTAGAGGAACACACAGAGGAATTGTCTATGGAGGAACTTCAGCAACTTCCGGCTGAGCAATAGCGAATGGCAGCTGAGGAGCTTTCTGAAAAGGAAAGAGAGTACCAACAATTAGTTCAGCAAAG